GAGAAAGGGGAAGAAGGGGAGGAAGAGAAAGGGGAAGAAGAGGAGGAAGAGGAAGAGGAAAAGGAAGAAGAGGAGGAGGAGATGGATGGACATCATCAGAATTCTCCTCCAAGGCTGGCAAAACCCCAGTTGCTTGCTATGAAGAGAAAGGTCAGTTCCAAACATTGGTTCAGAATCTCTTGATCTAACTGCATTTAGGAGCTTGAGCATTTAGATTTCCTCCTTTATCTTAAAAGCAGGCATACTTTGAAATGCCACTAATTTCTTACAGACTTTTGCAATTAAAATATTATTCTCTGCTAGTAATTGTGGGTGTTAATTGAGCATGCATTGTATCATCGCGTTCCTTTGCAGATATCTATATCTATATATCTATATATCTATATATATAGGTTCAGTAATTATGCAGCTTTTTAGTATGCAGGGATACAAAAAAGAATTAAATTAATAACTAGTGATGTCACTTTTGTCTCTCAATGCTAAGTTAGCCTTGTCCATGTACCATCACCTCATTTCGTTTCCAGATTATTGCCTCTTCTGGTTGCTAGCTTAAACAGATTGTATATCTATCACATGTTTATACTTGACATTAACACAGTAGATAATTCTCCAGTTCCTTATTCACAGTTCCTAATGAGATCTCTGCTTTTCCCATTCATATATGCATCCCCAACAACCCCCCAACATCCTGTGAAATAATTTAAACATCATCACGGTCCTGTCTCCAAAGCTCAAACAAATAAACAAAGGTCCTGTCTCTTTGTTCCTAGCTGGGCTGAGTATTGTTACTTATTTTACTGGATTGCATTTTAGTAGCTGGAAGATCTCCTGCACTACAAGGATTATCCATATTACAAAGAAGTTATTTCTCTTTTCTCTTTGAATATTTTCTTGATGTATTAAAATATAAATTTATTCAATATTTTAAAATTCTACTATCTCTGATATTGCCAAACATGATGATTCCTTTTTAATTCTTAGTTGTGCTTTGATTGCTAATCAGTTAGAACAGATTAACACTTCTGAAATCTTTGTCTGGGGCCATGTGAAAATTGTTGGAGGTAATCCTTCGTTTTTACATTTTTTTAAGTAACAGCTTTATCGTTATCATCAAAATTAGCACCATATAATGAACGAAATGAGCTCTGGGATAGAAATCGGAAAAGAGTTCCTTCAATTGGTAAATTTATAAGAGAAAATTAGTAGATTGCACCAATACCATATTATGGAAGCAGACTCTGAATCAGGGTCTCCTTGATAGTTCATCGCAAGTTCAAACAACCTTAATTAAGCTTTTCTGCAAGTTTTTCTTGACCCATCTAAATGTGGCTCATGGAACACCAGTACCAAAGATTCTAGTACATATTGATTTATCCCCTCTCCCCTTAGTAAAAGGTTAATTTTTATCATAGTTCTCTTTACCACTTTATAATTTCAATGCAGCAGTGTTTCTAATAAGCCACAAATTGAAGTACAGAAGGGTCTAATCTGTTTTCCATCCTGACCTATGTGCCTCACATTTGGAGATGTTTATGGAGAAGGATAATGGGAACCTGATTATTATACATTAATTAATATAACTGTTAATTATTATACATTAATGTTATTATATTAATGGGAACTTGACCCAGCTTTTCATTGCTGGTCCCTTGAGAGATTCTTTATAATTTAGTGGTCATTAAAGTTTTAGTAGAAGTTGTACATTTTAAAAATTATACTCTGGAAAAGTTATATAAAACACTTTGAATACCAACTGTTTCAAATTTGGAATGTCTCAGTCTCGGTCGAAAACACTTGTTTTAACTTTGAAAAACTTGTTTTGATCATTTTGCAATAGCTCTACACTGTTTTGAACTGGAAATGTTTCCAAAATGATTGAGAGAGCTCATTTCAGATGCAAAACTGCTCTGTCTAGCTTGAAACAATTATTTCAAACTCAAAAAGAGGGTGTTTTGAATTTGCAACAGTTCAGATTTGAAACATTTTATATATTATTACTTCCCAGACTTTTTCAGGGTTCTCTGTAGCTTTAGCTTGAAGATTCTTATCAGAACTCCAAAACTGAGCCTTCATTGTCAGATTTAAAATTTAGAGTTTACAGATTTAACTGATTTTGAGTATTTATACTATTTAGACATATTTAATTCTTCATTAAATTAAATATGCAGGTTAGAAAGAAAATGGAGTCTAACTACTGTACAGTCAAGTATTTTGCTTTTAATGCCATGTTGAAACCTTGGTGATGTGTTGATAGCAGTAGATAAGGTTGTCTTAATTCTAATACAACAAAGTCTTGTAATAATTTAAAGACAAACATCTTTATAATAGCATAAGCTGTCATGGACTACAGTCACTTCACTGACATATGGTATATTGTTCCAAGGAAGGCGTATTTTCACACATATATATGTTAACATATATATGTACACAGTTGAAATGTCATAAAAAAAAATCAAATAGGCATGTAGGGAAAGGTACCTATACAGTAACAAAATATTCAGTGTGTCATACAATTCTTGTATTGATGAACATATTAATGTATTAATTCAAATAATTCCAAAATTGTTGGTAAGTGTTCCTGGAGAGTCAGCATCTTCCTAAGCAGCTTCAGTCGCTAGGTGAATGAATAGAAGAGAATTTAAGATTCAAATAAGTTGAGGAAAATGTTTGTACTTGGGACATAATCAGTAACATTTGAACTATCAAGCAGAGTATTGTAAATATGTATCAAAAAGTGTGGCAGATTTTGCCAAAAAAGAATGTTAATTCTTCTGCCCAACTTTAACATGTTTAACATTATTTTTAGAGACCTTTCATACTGAAAAAGAAAAGGGGTCGTAAACGCCGAAAGATTAACAGCAGTGTTACAACAGAGACAATTTCTGAAACCACCGAAGTTTTAAGTGAACCCTTTAATAACTCAGAAGAAGAGCAGCCCATGACACAGCTGGAGTCAACTTGTGAGACAGATGGAGAAAATGACAGAGTGAAAGCTAGTGTTCAAACAATGTTCCAGCATCAGTCTGGGGAAGAGGAAGGAAATGAACCGGATGAAGAGGAGCAGGAGAAAGACAATCAGTGTTACCGGAATGATAGTCCATGCAGAGGTGAGTGCCAAGGGGATGTAGAAAGCAGTTCTCTACATGTGGAACTGAATTTAAACCACATTAAACTTTCTAGGATTTTCGGCAGAGGCTTCATGGATGGAATTGGACTACAAATGCCTTAAATTACTTTTCATGAGTGGCTGTTACACTGATTTGAAAGGTCGAGGTTTGCAGTAAAAACAGCAGTGTTTTTAACATTATAGTATAAATGAACTGCAATTTTTGAATCATTTTTGCTGTTACTTTTTGTCTGACTGGGAAGTTGAGAGTTTTTTTTTTTTTCATTTTTCCACTTTCTCTTTGTTTAATTTTTAGTCAGATCAGTCCCCTTGATTATTTTTTATTATTTTGTAGCAGAGTTTTAAAACTTTATTTCCTTTACTTAGAATTCTTAATAGTACAGGAAATGAAACCCTTGGGAAATATTCTGGAAAACACAGCTTATTCCTCTGGTCATTGTTGGGAGTATTGATCCAACTAAAATCAGGAAGGCATGTTTTATGTTCATTTTGTTCCTTTTTTTAATGCTGTGCTGTCTGGTAGAGAGGGTGAATAAGCTCCTCCTTTCTTTCCTTCCTTCCTTCCTTCCTTTTGGGCCCTTATTTCCTCTTCAACACGTTTCTTAGATTAATTATTTGGCAGAAAAGGTGGAAGACATGTGCAACTAAGTAGAAACTCTCTAGCAAAACCAAAGGCAAGTTGTCTGTGTGATTGTAGTACAGCATGTTGGTGAATTGCAAGACACGCCTTGGTTGCTTGTAACAGTGAGCCAGAAAGACAATGGAGGCGGGATTGTTTCTGATTTAGAGGAGCATCATGCAGCCATTCTGAAATGCTTCCTCAGAAGACCTGATGAATCACCAAATAGTGACAGACAATTGTCATCAACCAGACTAGATTTAACCAGAAAATCCAGCAGCTCCACCTGTTTATACATATTCTTCCACCAGTGTTAAAAAGAATTTCACTCCATTCAGGCAAAGATGATGTTCTCTCTAGAACTAGCTGGGTCTTAGACAAGTTCCTTTTCTTCTTTGCACTTGAACTTGGAACAAGCCTAGAGAAGTAATCACTCATCCTCTAAGATCTCCTTCTGCAACCTCAGATACGATTATGTGAATAATCAGAAAAGAGTTTTCTGCTCAGCTGTATTTAACATGGATTTTGGGAAACAAATTTTAGGGAAGGATAGACTGTCTCTCTGAAAGATGTGCCTCATTATCAAAACACGTTTACTTTTTGTGCAAAGGTATCATCCAAACAAACACAGCCAATCCCACAGTGTCGGGTGTTCTAATTTCTCAACTTGAGGAGAAAATTCTTTGTAATGTATATTTTTAAAAATGTGAATGCACAACAGAGATTTTGGATCTATTCTTTAAATCTTCAGCTGCAATTTTCTTTTTAGTTCAAAACTGCATGTGAGAGAAGCTCCCCAGAAGCTAACTAAAACAGCAAGCTGTAAATGTTTTCTTATAGACTTCATGAAGTTTTCCATCAGAACCAGGGTCAGTATTGGTCAGGGCAAATTTTGGGTCAACCACTGCTACATTGGATCCTGGGTACAGTTAACAGACTTTTTCATTAGAGAAGGCAAATTGTATGGAGAATCCTTCCAATGTACAGTATATTTAGAAAATCGAAGACCAAAGGAAGGAAAGACTGTACATGCTAACCCAGAATGATACAAAACCCCAAAACATCTTCTGCAAAGTATGTTCACAATGTACCTTTAAGGTCCCTTCAGTTAGGATCAAAATAGAAATTAGCTTTCAGAAGTAGCAGTCAGTTAGTAAATATTGATTATGGTCCATGACCAGTCAAAACCTCAAAGTAAAATAAAACAAAAACAAGCAGCATATGTTTAAGAAAAAAATGTAAAAAAAAAAAACAGTTCAGAAATTGTAAAATATACCCCTCTTGGAATTTTTTTGAAGAAAGTATGGACAGCTGCACACAGAACTTGAAATCATGGCCAGTAGAAATGGCAATACCAGAGTTTTCTATTTTTCCACCTTACAGATGTGTGAGAGAAATCCTTGGAAAAAGGATATTAACTGAAATTGTGCCAGGTTTGAAGTTCCTCCAGCTTTAATAATATCCAGAAAGAGTGGGTTTTTCAAACAATTTTCCTCTACTTAGGCCACAGGATGCACTCCCAGCAAAATAAATTCAGACATTGCCAAATGGTGTCCATTATTTTTTCCATCTGGAAATTGTTGTTGTTGTTGTTCAGTCGTTAAGTCGTGTCCGACTCTTCGTGACCCCATGAAC